ATAAGATTATTATTATTATTATTATTATTATTATTATTATTATTATTATAGAAATCTTATATATGCATGGTTTGCTTCAATGCTTTCTCACCCAGACAAACCTGCAAAGCTCCACAAATGTTCCAGCTAAGGAAGGCTTTTCATATCCTGGACCTTGACATTCTGCTAAGCACTCCCCCGTCATGTCCCGTGTATTTTTGTCAAAACATAGTAACAATGCAGTGCATGTTTTTCTTTGTTCACCTACAACTATCTCTAGATATCTTAGTTATGTTTAGCGATAGGATTGTTTTTAGTTACAACCAAAATGCTTTGCAAGTCTGCCATAAAACAGACAGTAGTTACTTTCTGTTAGATCAAATTACCGAAATGATTTTCTTGCCAATTATAGCTTCACCTTTAGCATAAAAAATGCTACAGAATAAATTGTGCCTCCCTTTTTGAAATCTTGGAACTATTTCCAAGATTAATTGCACCTTATCATGTATCCTAAAAGTTGGTAGGTGCTCTAAAGTGTACATATTTTGAAGCTCTTCTGAAACAAGAAAGGTTCGTGTATATAACCTTGACATATTTATGTGTGTACTAATATGCAAATCTAGAATAAGTAAATAAATATAAATATAGAATGTTTTATTGACTATTCTAAAGCCTTTGACAGTGTAGATCATAAGAAATTATGGCAAGTTCTTGGTGGTATGGGCATACCAAATCACCTTGTCTGTCTCCTGAGGAATCTGTATAAGGACCAAGTAGCAACAGTAAGAACTGACCATGGAACAACAGCCTGGTTCAAGATTGGGAAAGAATTACGGCAGGGTTGTATTCTTTCACCCAACCTATTCAACTTGCATGCAGAACTCATCATGCGATGTGCAGGGCTTGATGAATCCAAGGCTGGACTTAAAATTGCTGGAAGAAACATTAACAACCTTAGATATGCAAATGATACCACTTTGATGGATGAAAGTGAGGAGGAGTTGAGGAGACTTATAACCAAGGTGAAAGAAGAAAGTGCAAAAGCTGGGTTGCAGTTAAACATAAAAAAACGAAGATTATGGCAACCAGACTGGTAACTGAGAAATAGAGGGAGAAAACGTGGAGGCAGCGACAGACTTTGTATTTCTAGGTTCAAAGATTACTGCAGATGCAGACTGAAGCCAGGAAATCAGAAGACGCTTACTTCTTGGGAGGAGAGCATTGGCCAATCCCTATAAAATATTGAAGAGTAGGGACATCACACTGGCAACGGAGATCCGCATAATCAAAGCAATGGTATTCCCTGTAGTAACCTACGGATGTGTGAGCTGGACTATAAGGAAGGCTGAGCCAAGGAAGATTGACGCTTTTGAACTGTGGTGGTGGAGGAAAATTCTGAGAGTGCCTTGGACCGCGAGAAGATCCAACCAGTCCATACTTCAGGAAATAATGCCCAACTGCTCATTGGAGGGAAGGATAGTAGAGGCCAAGATGAAGTACTTTGGCCACATCATGAGAAGAAAGGAAAGCTTAGAGAAGACAATGATACTAGGGAAAATGGAAGGAAAAAGGAAGAGGGGCCGACCAAGGGCAAGATGGATGGATGGCATCCTTGAAGTGACTGGATTGACTTTGGAAGGAGTTGGGGGTGGTGACAACCAACAGAGAGCTCTGGCGTGGGCTGGTCCAGGAGGTCCCGAAGAGTCGGAAGCAACTGAACGAATAAAAAACAACAAAAAAGAATATTCATAGTAATACAGACTCCATAAAATGAGTGCATGGGGTTCTTATACATTGTTCCTTGCTCCCTCTTTTCTTAATGCCACTTTCCTTCCACTTCTGAAGCTAACTTTCCTGTCCCCTGTATTTCTATTAGCAGCAAATAACTGCTCAAAGACCCTGTAAACATTCTTATATGAACTGACATTTCACTTCATCATATGAGTTGATTTGACATTATTTCGTTCGCACAATTGAAGCTCATGCGCCAGCTGCGACCGTACCTCATGAAGTCAGATTTGGCCACGGTGGTCCATGCCTTAGTTACCTCTAGATTGGACTATTGCGGTGCGCTCTACATGGGGCTGCCCTTGAAGATGGTCTGGAAATTCCAATTGGTCCAACGGGCGACAGCCAGATTATTAACTGGTGTGAATTACAGAGAGCGGTCAACCCTCCTGTTTAAGGAGCTCCACTGGCTGCTGTTTATTTTCCGGGCCCAATTCAAGGTGCAGGTTTTGACATACAAAGCCCTGAACGTTTTGGGACCTGCCTACCTGCGCAACGGCATTTCCGTCTACGAACCCACATGACCTCTTCGATCTTCTGGAGAGGCCCCTCTCGCTCCTGTCCGCATCACAAGTGCGACTTGTGGGGACGAGCGAGAGTGCCTTCTCTGTAGTGGCCCCCCAGGTCTGGAATTCCCTCCCCAGAGATATTAGGCAAGCCCCCATTCTGACAATCTTCAGGAGGAACCTGAAAACCTGGTTATTCCAATTTTATTTATTTTATTTGTCGTGTCAGGACAACCAGTCATATTATGTTACATTTCTAACAGAACAAAGCAAACAAACATACAAAATTTGTGAGTTTGGTAGTTGATTAAAAGTCCTTTGACCAGTATCTGGCCACTTGGAGTGCCTTCTGGTGTTGCTGCAAGAAGGTCCTCCATTGTGCATGTGGCAGGGCTCAGGTTGCATTGCAGCAGGTGGTCAGTGGTTTGCTCCTCTCCACACTCGCATGTCGAGGATTCCACTTTGTAGCCCCATTTCTGAAGGTTGGCTCTGCATCTTGTGGTGCCAGAGCGCAGTCTGTTCAGCGCCTTCCAAGTTGCCCAGTCCTCTGTGTGCCCAGGGGGGAGTCTCTCATCTGGTATCCGCCATTGGTTGAGGTTCTGGGTTTCAGTCTGCCACTTTTGGGCTCTCGCTTGCTGAGGTGTTCTAGCGAGTGTCTCTGTAGATCTTAGAAAACTATTTCTAGATTTAAGTCGTTGACGTGCTGGCTGATACCCAAACGGGATGAGCTGGAGATGTCTCTGCCTTGGTCCTTTCACTATTGGCTGCTACTTCCTCGGCGGATGTCAGGTGGTGCAATACCGGCTAAGCAGTGTAATTTCTCCAGTGGTGTAGGGCGCAGACACCCCGTGATAATGCAGCATGTCTCATTAAGAGCCACATCCACTGTTTTAGTGTGGTGAGATGTGTTCCACACTGGGCATGCATACTCAGCAGCAGAGTAGCATAGCGCAAGGGCAGATGTCTTCACTGTCTGGTTGTGATCCCCAGGTTGTGCCAGTCAGCTTTCGTATGATATTGTTTCTAGCACCCACTTTTTGCTTGATGTTCAGGCAGTGCTTCTTGTAGGTAAGAGCACGGTTCAGAGTGACTCCCAGATATTTGGGTGCGCTGCAATGCTCCAGTGGGATTCCTTCCCAGGTGATCTTCAGAGCTCGGGATGCTTCTCTGTTCTTGAGATGAAAGGCACATGTCTGTGTTTTGGATGGGTTGGGGATCAACTGGTTTTCCCTGTAGTAGGCAGTAAAAGCACCTAGAGCTTCGGAAAGCTTCTGTTCTACTATCTCAAAGCTCCCTGCTTGAGCAGGTTATTCCAATGTGCCTTCAATGATTGAATGTAAGACACTCCTTGACAAAACTTTGCATAAAATGACCTCAGAAGCACTTTATTTTATGGTTCGTGCAATTAAATCCTTCCTCATCCCGGATCCCCCTTCCCGACAATTTACATTACCCTATCTCCCAGTGTTTTAAAATTTTATCTTTGAATTTGGCCCTGCCCAGTGTAATTCCTTTGTGTTTTAATGTTTGAAATTATATTGCTGTGTCGTCTATTATATTGGTTTTGCATTTTATGTATTTTATTTTCTGGTTTTGTTATGCTTTTGTATAATATTGTGTTTATTGTACTGATGGGCATGGCCTCATATAAGCCGCCCCGAGTCCTCCTGGGGGAGATGGAGCAGGGTATAAATAAAGTTTTTTATTATTTTATTATTATTACTAGCTGTACCCTGCCATGCATTTCTGTGGCCCTCAGATAAGAGAGGAATTCCAGTTGAAGCAATAGACAGATGGGACAGATGGAAGGGACATTGATAGATGGAACAGAAGGTAGATAGGTTGGTTGATAGATAGGTTGGTAGGAAGTAGGTAGATAGATATGTAGATGGAGTGATTGATGGATTGAAGGATGGTTGACCATCTGTCGGGAGGGTTTTGATGGTGTCTTCCTTTACTGTAAAATGAGGTTGGACTGGATGGCCTTTGGGGTCTTCCTGCCTGACATGAATTCTGTATTCTAAGCCTGGGTTATCAATGGATCTGCTCTGAGCTTGATTGCTTTTGCTTCTGCAGAGTTTCCTTTCTCCCGAATCCATCCCATCGACGGTAGATTAGTCGGGTCTGGAGGGATATTTTAAGGCAGGCCTGCGGGGATGAAGTCTTTTCCTTCAGCTCCTGAACAGAGAGCCTCCGTGGGAGCCTGCTGGCCATGCACGTGCACTCCTTCCCTCCCCCATCCCTCCCTGAGGCTTAAGTTGGACGTCTTTCCGAGGGGGGGGGAGGGGGGAAGTGTTTTTTGGGGGGGTTGTGAGTGGAGAACATAGCTTGCTTGAGATAGTATCTAGTGTCCAAATTTGGTGTCAATTCCCCCAGTGGTTTTTGAGTTCTGATGGTATCACAAACGAACATTACATTTTTATTTATATAGATTATTAGTTATTTCCTCCTGAATAACTGGAATGTTTTGAATGTAGAACTGCTCCAAGTCACCTCTGGGCTGAGAAGGGTGGTATATAAATATAGTAAATAAACAAAATAATAAATAGTAGCAGATCAAAATAGTTCATTTACTGACAAAGACTTCTTAGATATGTAATAGCAAGCAGTCAATTTGTAGCTTCTTGTTTTAAAAAAAGTCTTTAAAAAAACCTATTTAATTCAGAAGTGTTCTATCCAAATGTAATTGTTTGTGCATTGAATAATACTATTACTGTGTCTTGATAGCTCTCACGAAGAAATCAGACGAAATATCTGAAGTTAAAAAGCAGTGTGACTACCTCAAGAAAGAATATGATCACCTCACAAAAGAACACATAAAAATGCTGGTAGGTGGCAAAGAACTGATTTACTCAAGCCGAACTTCCTGAAATGAAGCTAATAATGATTTGTGTGTGTGCATGTTTAATCCAGGGAGAATTTATCAAGCAACAATTTAATTCTGTGAATGTTTGGACATGTTCTCTCAGAATAATGAAAATACTTGAGTCCTAAACTCTCCCAGAGCACTTGTTGGAATGGAGCCTACTTTGTTTTAAAACAAATTGTTTTATCCAGAATATTTCATTAACATGATGTTCCTTGGAATAGTAGCACAGAGAAAGAGATGTGGAGGTGGGAGAGCTTTCTCTCTCCCTTTGTGAACATGTATTCTTTTAGTACAGTGGTTCCCAACCATTCTTTGACCAGGGACAACTCTTTAACAGTAGTATCAAAAGGGTTATGAATCAGTTTTTAGTCAACTTTAGATTGAGTTTGCTTATTTGGGGTGCTGATTCAGAAAATTGCATTGGATAGACCACATCGGCTCTAGTTTCTGATACATATGCTATCCAATGGTCGCCATCTGCTCGCCCACAGAAAATCTTATTTAAGCCTTGGCACTCTAACTGTTGGCTTTGGCCTATAAAGCCCTAAACGGCCCCAGCCCAATTTACCTGTCCGAACGCATCTCCCCCTATGAGCCACCATGGAGATTAAGACCTTCTGGGGAGGCCCTGTTCTCAGTTCCACCACTATCACAGGCGCGTTTGGCGGGGACGAGAGACAGGGCCTTCTCAGTAATTGCCCCTCGGCTATGGAATTCCCTTCCTAATGAGATCAGGTCAGCCCCCTCCCTCTTGTCCTTTAGAAGGATGATAAAAATATGGCTGTGGGACCGAGTCTTTGGGAGTGTGCAATGTGGCAGCGATGGGAACTCTTAGTATGCCAACCAAGTAGCACCACAATGAGTCAAAAATGTACCAGAGGGAACTTTTGATTCTTTAAATGCTGTTGGATTACGTATCTCAGTGTCGAGAGTTGTAGTTCAGCAATACTTGGAAGTTTACACTTTGCCTATCCCTGGAACTAGAAATCTGGCAGACTGAAAATTTATCAATTTAGGCCCCTTCCACACTTCCCCTGTATCCCAGGATCTGATCCCAGATTATCTTCTTATCCAGGAATATCTGGGAGTGGAGACTTGTATAATCCAGTTTTTTTTTATCGTGTCAGAAGCGACTTGAGAAACTGCAAGTCACTTCTGGTGTGAGAGAATTGGCTGCCTGCAAGGATGTTGCCCAGGGGATGCCCAGATGTTTTGATGTTTTTACCATCCTTGTGGGAGGCTTCTCTCATGTCCCGCATGAGGAGCTGGAGCTGATAGAGGGAGCTCATCTGCCTCTCCCCGGATTCGAACCTGCGACCTGTCGGTCTTCAGTCCTGCCGGTACAGGGGTTCAACCCACTGCGCCACCGGGGGCTCCTTATATAATCCAGTTTAAATCAGATAATTGGGATCAGATCCTGAGATATAGGGCAGTGTAGCTAGGTTAGAAGCAGTTGAGACCTAGGGCCCTTCCAGGCAAGCCCTGTATCCCAGGATCTGATCTGTTTCTGTTTATCTCAGATTATCTGGCAATGTGGACTCATATAATCCAGTTTCAATCAGATAATCTGGGATCAGATCCTGAGATATAGGGCAGTGTAGATAGATTAGGAGCAGTTGAGACTAGGGCCCTTCCAGACAGGCCCTATATCCCAGGATCTGATCTGTTTCTGTTTATCTCAGATTATCTGGCAATGTGGACTCATATAATCCAGTTTCAATCAGATAATCTGGGATCAGATCCTGAGATATAGGGCAGTGTAGATAGATTAGGAGCAGTTGAGACTAGGGCCCTTCCAGACAGGCCCTATATCCCAGGATCTGATCTGTTTCTGTTTATCTCAGATTATCTGGCAGTGTGGACTCATATAATCCAGTTTAAATCAGATAATCTGGGATCAGATCCTGAGATATAGGGCAGTGTAGCTAGGTTAGGAGCAGTTGAGACCTAGGGCCCTTCCAGGCAAGCCCTGTATCCCAGGATCTGATCTGTTTCTGTTTATCTCAGATTATCTGGCAGTGTGGACTCATATAATCCAGTTAAAAGCAGAAAATCTGTGATCTGATCCTGAGATATAGGGCAGTGTAGCTAGGTTAGGAGCAGTTGAGACCTAGGGACCTTCCAGACAAGCCCTATATCCCAGGATCTGATCTGTTTCTGCTTATCTCAGATTATCTGGCAGTGTGGACTCATATAATCCAGTTTAAATCTGGTTCTGAGATATAGGGCAGTGTAGCTAGGTTAGGAGCAGTTGAGACCTAGGGCCCTTCCAGACAGGCCCTATATCCCAGGATCTGATCTGTTTCTGTTTATCTCAGATTATCTGGCAGTGTGGACTCATATAATCCAGTTTAAATCAGGTCCTGAGATATAGGGCAGTGTAGCTAGGTTAGGAGCAGTTGAGACCTAGGGCCCTTCCAGATAGGCTCTATATCCCAGGATCTGATCCCAGGTTTTCTGTTTATCCCAGGTTATCTGGCAGTGTGGACTCATATAATCCAGTTATATAGAACTTACATAGAATTTGGTTTGGGGATTTACAGCCAAAGGCCCTGAATTTATAAGCAAAGTTCTCTTTCATACCTTTTTGATTTCACCAGGATGCAAATTGACTTTTCTCGATTGAGGGAACAAAAAAAGCCATGGTGGTTACCATGAAGTACAAATTGCAATATATAATGATAATTTTGTCAATTTTTTTTTCTCTCTCATGCCTTTCTTCTTAATTTTTACAGGACCAGAAGTGTGAAAAGCCTAAAAAGAAAGCCCAATAAATGCCTTATAAGGACACTGGCTTTTAAGAAATATGCCTCAGTGTGTATTGTCTCTTATTCATAGCTTTACACTTCAAGACTATATGGGGGAAAGCCTTACTTCCTTTCAAGGAAAATGCACTTGCATACATTGCTGAAATTCTATAGGTAAATGTTGGTTGCCAAATATTATATTTTGCAATGAAAATGGTGGCCAGAATTCAAACCTGCTTTAGTCGTGCCTGAGACCCAGGGAATTGTTGTCTCTTCTTGGTTTAAAAAATGCCCATGGCACATTGCAAATTCCTGTGCATATCACAAAAATGCATTTAGTTACAAAAGAAATGTGACTTATCTCATGTTAAAAAAAAGTCTGAACTTCGCTTGGGTGAACAGCAACATTTGTGTAGTTATTTAGATTTATACTGGTAAGAGATGTACCAGAAAATGTATTGTCGAAGGCTTTCATTGCCGGAATCACTGGGTTGTTGTAGGTTTTTCCGGGCTATATGGCCATGTTCTAGAGGCATTTCTCCTGACGTTTCGCCTGCATCTATGGCAAGCATCCTCAGAGGTAGTGAGGTCTGTTGGAAGTAGGAAAATGGGTTTATATATCTGTGGAATGACCAGGGTGGGACAAAGGACTTTTGTCTGCTGGAGCTAGGTGTGAATGTTTCAACTGACCACCTTGATTAGCATTTAATGGCTTGGAAGTGCCTGGGGGAATGTTTTGTAGAGAGGTGATTTGATGTGCCTGATTGTTTACTCTCTGTTGTAATTTTTGAGTTCTTTGGTAAGCAGATTTTGTTCATTTTCATGGTTCCTTCCTTTCTGTTGAAATTGTCCACATGCTTGTGGATTTCAATGGCTTCTCTGTGTAGTCATGAAAATGACCAAAATCTGGCTACCAGTATTAAAAAACTCAAAAATTACAACAGCAAAACAATAGAAAGTAAACAATCGGGCACATCAAATCACCTCTCAACAAAAGATTCCCCCAGGCACTTCCAAGCCATTAAATGCTAATCAAGGTGGTCAGTTGAAACATTTACACCTAGCTCCAGCAGACAAGAGTCCTTTGTCCACCCTGGTCATTCCACAGATATATAAACCCTTTTTCCTAGTTCCAACAGACCTCACTACCTCTGAGGATGCTTGCCATGGATGCAGGCGAAACGTCAGGAGAAAATGCCTCTAGAACATGGCCATATAGCCCGGAAAAACCTACAACAACCCGATGTACGAGAAATGCAGTATGATGTATCTTTCCTTCCTACAAATAGAAATCGCCACATAAACTCATCACAGTACGTCAAAACAAAAACTGAAGATAACTGTTAATTATATTATGGACTTTACAAATTATTATTTTTTTGTAATAGAGCTTTATTTGGTATAAATAAGTATATAGTATCCAAATAAAGTGGGAGAACATAGTATTTTGAAAAGTAGGAAAGTAAAGAGATAGAGGTGTATATTAAAAAAAGGGAAAATATATATACAAAAAAATTGTTTTAGATAAAAATAAAAGATAAACATAAACAGAAAAAAAAGAGTCCTGTGACTTCCTTCTAATCCTACACGGGTTCAACTTTGATGTCTATATGATCTTCCTAATTTCTAATTGACTCCTCTTGCGGTTCATATTTATGTGATATTCACAGTTATAATTCTTACAAATTATATCAAAACATGAAATTATCTTTAAACAGTCCATTTTATTAGTGTGTATTAGACATCAAACTTGGTTCAGGAGTAAACATAACGGAGTATTATAGTGTCTCTAAAGAGATGAAAAAAATCTCATATACAGTAATAGTATTGAAGTAGAATTGATGAATACTTTGATCTAAATCTTGTTAGTAGACCCAGCTAGAGTAAACCCATTGAATCAAAGGTTGGATACTGGTTTAAAGGTGTATGTAATTGATTCAATGGGTCTACTCTGTATAGACTGAAATTTTGATTTATGTCCATGTGCTTAGTAGCACAGATACATACATATTTTGAGTTTTCCTTCTCTTCTTCCTCCCAATTTTAATTTTTCTTTTCTTTGTGTAAAGGAGGATACATCTGAAAACAGATTTGTATACAACATACAAACCAGGATTCTGCTTCGCAAGTTGTATACAAATGTTTACAGTACTTATATCAGCTTAAGTGGAAATATGTCCCGCATGAATAGAAGAAATTTTTAAAAATTTCCTAGTAGAGAAAAAGGACAGTGTTTTTTGTCCGTTCCACTTCCCTTTGCCTCTCTGCCTGCCATGCTCTGGAGGCAACCTCAGACATCCAGCGCCACGTTTTAGGAGGCCTAGGGAATGAGTGGCAAGAAGAAATTGGTGAGTTGACCCCCTTCTTCTATTGCCAGGAGAACTCTGCTGGCAAAGTTTGGCTCATTATTTGCTGCTGAAAGATTTACCTTTTGTGCGTTTTATTTGAATGTTAATTTGTTAATAAAGATATTGCTTAAGCTTCATTTGTCTGATGTGTGTGACTACCAATCTGGAATATTACACCACAGTGTCTCCTTTTACTTTTTTTTCAGTGGAAGAACTTTAAGATCTTCTGGGGACGCCCTCCTTTCGCTCCCACCACAGTCACAAGTACGGTTGGTGGAGATGAGAGAGATGGCCTTCTCAGTGGTGGCCCCCCGCCTCTGGAACGCCCTCCCCAGGGAAATAATAATAATTAATAATAATAATAATAATAATACTTTATTTGTACCCCGCTACCATCTCCCCAAGGGACTCGGTGCAGCTTACATGAGGCCGAGCCCAAACACAATACAAGCAATAATCACAACAATACAAGCAATTAAAATAAAGAACATGGACAATAACATACAAGATTATCAATAAGACAACATACAATTAAAACTATGGGAAGGCCAAATGTAAAATTAAAATTGGAAATCGTGCTGAAGCATGGACGAAAAGGTGATAGTGGTATTTGTGGAAGGACATACGAGCAGACCTAAAAATGTAAAGTGCTTTGGAGGACAAAGTGCTATGGCAGTGTTTCTCAACCTGGGGATCGGGACCCCTGAGGGGGTCGTGAGGGGGTGTCAGAGGGGTCGCCAAAGACCATAAGAAAACACAGTATTTTCTGATGGTCATGGGGATTCCATGTGGGAAGTTTGAGCCAATTCTATCGTTGATTTGAGCCAATTCTATCGTTGATGAACCCCACCAATAGAATTGGGTCAAACTTCCCACACAGAACCCACATGACCAAGAGAAAATACTGTGTTTTCTGGTGGTCTTTGGCGACCCCTCTGACATCCCTTCGCGACCTCCACAGGGGTCCTGATCTCCAGGTTGAGAAATGCTGAATATGTCCTGGTTCGCTATACTTGAGGCCACTTCTACACTGTTCTGGCCCAGAGTATCTGTCCGAACGCATCTCCTTCTACGTCCCGCCTCGGAGTTTAAGATCTTCTGGGGAGGCCCTGCTCTCAGCCCCACTTCTATCACAAGTGAGGTTGGTGGGGATGAGGAGCAGGGCCTTCTCGGTGGTGGCCCCTCACCTGTGGAATTCACTCCCCGGGGAAATTAGGTCATCGACATCCCTCCTCTCTTTTAGAAGGAAATTAAAAACATGGATTTGGGACCAGGCTTTTGGGTAATCTGGCAGATAGACAAGGGTCAAGCGGCGACTAGAATTGATTGATTTGACAATGTGGAATTGAATTTATGGACTCTGAGCTGGCAAACGTTGAGCACTAGATTGGTTTTTATGGATTATGATGTATAATGGATTGTTTTAATTACTGTTTATATATGTTTTATTTTTATCATATTGTTGTGTTGGCATCAAATTGTGCCTTTTGTAAGCCGCCCTGAGTCCCCCCTCGGGGGTTGAGAAGGGCGGGGTAGAAGTGCGATAGATAAATAAATAAATAAATAAATATAACATCCAGATTATCTGCTTTAAACTGGATTATATGGCAGTGTGAACTCATATAATCCAATTCAAAACAGATAATGTGGATTCTCTGCTTTGATCATCTGGATTATAGGGCAGTGGAGAAAGGGCCTCAGACAGCCTTCTCTTTGGGCACTTCTGTGACCAGCTCATCTACTGTAATATCACAGTATTTGAAATTTATATCCTTGTTTTGATGAAAACGTGCACTTACGAAGTATGAAGGTCATTAAAACCACCAAGTATTGCTACCCTGCTTGCTTTGGATGCTGCCTGGTTCATTCTCCTCCTACCTGGGTTTGGTCAACATCTCTCCATCCAAAAATATTTAGGGAGCTTGGTATTGTTGTCCACAGGAATTTTCCAGTGGAATAACCTGCTTTCAGGGTGACTCTAAGTGAGGAGGGCTTGCTTGATCCCCTGTCCTCCTTAAGCAATGCCATTTTCACCACCTCCAGCATGCTTTTCCTTGTCATTCCCATTGAAACAAGTGTCAACTGTATCCCACCGGTTTTCTTAATTCTGCCACATTTCAGTTATGCTTAGTTTAGTGGTGTTTTCTCTTAAAACAAAGGTATTCATCCAAGGTTGGATTAAGACTTGTGGATGCCCTTGATAATGTTAAGGTTAGGAGACCTCCAAACATTATCAATACCATTACCCGTGTATTAATTTAGCAACGAGACCTTGAATGTTGTGAAGAAAAAGAGGGAAAGAATTGGGAGGCCTGTCCATAATCATAGGCTCTAAGGCAGAAGTCCTAAACTAAGGCCAGTGGGCTGGATGTCGTCTCCAAAGTCATTTACCTGGCCCTGCCCTAAACTTTAGACTCAGGGTTGTCCTAAGTTTGCAGTGACTTGAAGGCACATAAGCAAAAACAATCCAAAATGTTTGGAAGCGTCAAATGGTCCAAAAGGCGGCAGCCAGGTTACTAACAGGAGCTGCGCTCAGGGAGCACACTACTCTGTTGCGTCAGCTCCACTGGCTGCCAATTTGCTACTGAGCACAATTCAAAGTACTGGCTTTAGCCTATAAAGCCCTAAACAATTCCAGCCCAGCTTACCTGTCCGAACGTATCTCCTCCTATGAACCATCTAGGACAGTGTTTCGCAGCCTGGGGGTCGT